TTTTTTTTTTTTTTTTACTTAATTTCAGCTTTAATACGTTTAGGGCTGAGTCTTCCCCCCAGAGCCATGCAGTGGCTCACAGTCCTGCTCACTTTGTGCCCGGGAGTCTCGCCTCGGCTTTGGGACGTTGCGGGTGCCACGGGGCGAGCGGAGGCTGCCGGGCCGCACCTGGGAGCAAAACCCTCAGTGTGCGAAGCCCTGGTCGTGTCTGCAGCATGACCCTGGGCTGTCGGCGGCCGACTTGGAGGGTGGCCCCTCGGATGCCTTCTGACCCCATGGACCTCCAGGAGGGACGGTCCCGTGTCCCGAGGGGCAGTGTCCAGCTCCCGGCACTCTGCAGCCCTCCCTCCTTCCTGACCTCGGGCACACACTCGCGTGCGTGTGGCTGCAGCTCCGGTAGCTTACCCAAACTTGCTTTAATTTAGCTGTCCTGGGAAGCAGTAGAGGGGAAGGAACAGAGGTACGGGGTGCAGTGCAACTTCCCTGGGGAGCCCAGATACTCGTTTCTCAGGTGGGCTGCGGAGAAGCCCTGCCACCGCCTCTGCCCTGCCCTGCCCAGTGCAGCCTGCCCTGTAACGCCCGATACCACGCAGACCCTCCATTTCTCCCCCTGTGAGGACTGGGTTGTCCCCAAAGCAAAGACACACTACAAAGAAAAATCTGGTAAAAAGGAGCGAGGTGTGCCAGAAACGCAGGCTCAGTGCTTGCCACAGAGCTGGACATTAAAATTGGTCTTAGCAAGAGGTGGTCCCTAAAGGCATCTGGTAGCATGATGGCCAGCCTCATCTCAGGCACCCCCACCTCATTCTCAAAGGCCTGTTTCACTATTTGAGAGGTGGCAGCACCCTGTGGAAAATGCTGGGGAGAAGTGGGCAAAGCAAGGGGTGGAGGCTTTCCCCTTCTTTATCCAGGCACCGGTCCCAAACCCAAGTTTTTATGGGACTTGGGGCCAGCACAGAGCCCTGGGCAGAGAGCAGAGGGACTTTGCTCACCTGTGAACAGGGGCAAACAAGCAATCTCATGCCAACTGGGAGGGAAAGGGATGAATCCATGAGTGGGTTGAGGGTGGAAAATAAGAGATGAGGGGAATCAGGCATGTTTCTGATACTGGGAAGAGGGAGGCAGAGCAGATGAAGGTTATCCCTTTTCATTAGTTGTAGTAGTTTTCCAGGAGGAGGTGTTGAGATGTGTGGGGTCGTGGGGCAGAGGTCAGTTGTTGAGAAAATCAAAAGTTGCCCATGTTACTTTATGCAATAGATCAGATGTGGAAGCGAAAGGGGTTTGTCATCACCACTGCCACTACCTTGGGCCCTGACAAATTTTGTTGGTTAGTGTAATTTGTGAGGTTGCCCTTCAAACATGAGAAGAAAGAATGATTAAATGACAAAAGAGATAAATGCATAGTTGAGCACTTGAGTACTTCAGGACCATGTCTTCTATGGCAGTAGCCATGGTAAGGCAGTAATGCAAGGATTTATTTTTGATGGTGGTCTGCATCTTTGTTAGATTTCTTTGGGATAATTTAAGGAGCATTTGTCTGGTATTAGCATAATAACTGAACTTCACAGGAAAGTTTGTATTTCATGTTCATTAGTCTTCTAAATTAATTTTAGTAAAATGCCTAAAACCATACAAAAAAGGGTTAATAAGTTACTTTAATAAAGTGGTTAGTGCAGAGATATTCACGTGTAGCGGAAAATTCTGACATTTTTTCAAAATTATTTCTTTTGAGTAGTGTTCGAGTTTGGGACCGAATTAGAAGGTTTGCTGTTTTCTTAAAAGCAGATTGCTGTCTGTGCCTTTGAACATCAACACTGAAGATCCTTGTGCTTTGATACAGCAAAGAAGGAACTTTGCTTGCAAAGCCTTTCTGTAGCATCCTTCTCCCTGACCGCCTTGTCCTGGCTCAGGTGACAACTGCTCTGGCACAGCTCTGACACGTTTTGTTGCTGAAGTTCACACGGCATGGCAAGGTAGTGCCTTCAGCAGGCAGTGCCATTGTTCTTCCTCACTGCCTGTGGACACAGGGTTTTGCTTTGCAAGGATAGCAGAACTCTGTCTCTGGTGGTTTGGGGATGTCTGCATTTCCAGCTGACAAACCGGCCACATGACCTGTGTGCTCTCCTCCCACGCTGTGTGCCATAGCCCAGTTTGCAGGTCTGGCTTGGAGCATCCCCCTGGGAGTGCAGAACAAGTGACTGCTGATCCACCGAGACACACAAAGGAGAGCTGGTGCTTGTACAAAAGGGCTACCCCCTTTCTGGGAGCTTGGGAGTGCTGCTGAGATGGCCTCTTGAAAATTGTCAGTGTGGCTGGAGGGGTGGTTGGCAACTGGGGTCCAGACTCAGCAGACCTACCTCTAAGGATGGCTTGTCCTGCTCAGGGGACCAGGGAGTTGAGGGCCAGGTTGCATTTAACCAAGGTCAGTGGCACAGCGAACACTTTTCCTGGAGAATAGTGGATGTTAACTAGCATCACATTATGCCTTTGATTTTTATTTTTTTTTTTAATAGACCATTCCACAGTATTTTATGTGTGCTGCATTGGTGGGGCAATATGGGCTCGAGTCAGTAAGATTAGTTTGGTCATGGGCAATAAACACAACGGGCATAATCTAGTGTGTCAAGTTTTAATGTGCTTTCCTAATGCCTGCTCTCCATTTTCAGCTTGCTGAACTCCAACTCCTTCACTGTTATACGAGATGATGCCTTTGCTGGTCTCTTCCATCTAGAATACCTGTAAGTTTGGTATTTTATGTCTTCCCCTGTCCTTTATAAATCAAGATGTTTTGATCAGTTGCCAAGACTCCTGCCATGGAGCTTTAGTCTTTACTGTGATTTCCAGGAGCAGGGGAGATGAAGGATTTATGTTCCACTCCTGTGCAAATGTCCTTTCTGATGGCTCACCATTTTTCAGAGGTTGCAGTGGATTTTTAAAATATGCCATGAATGCAAGGTGGCTCTGTGCAATTACAGTACGCTGAAAAAGCATTGCTGAGCAAGAGCTTGTCCTGGCTTCAGAATAGTGCCATTTCAACAATGCTCTCCCGGCCTGCAGAGGATGTGCAGAGTATCTGTGTATGGCCCAAAACAACCCTGATTACCAGAAACTTCTCTTCCCCTAAACCTTCCTCTCCAGTTTTTTTTTTGTTCTAATATCCCACTTAATGCCTGTGGCATTTATCTTTATAAATAATTATAAATGTATGAATATATAAATTTATTTAATATAAATTATTGTAATTATTATTTTTATTTAACTTTCCTTTTCTTTACTTAGTTCACTTCTTCACTGATTTTTACATTACCTTCATTTCCTGATCTTTTTTTTTTTTTTAGGTCACCTTTTTTTCTTTTAAAAAAAGTGTTAGCCCTGGTACCAGGTTGTCCTCACTTCATACTCCAACAGACTGCCATTTCTCTGTGTTACCGGACATGAGCTGGTATGTTTGAAACTCTGAGTATGATCTGAAAAAAATTCATCTTTCCACCCACCTTCCCATGCTGAAAGGTAGCTGTGGAAAACGTTTCTGTCTTTTTCTAAAGGAAGACCAATGCTCACAAAACTGACTCTTGCTAAGTCTTGCAGGCAAGTAGGTATTAAGGGGGGGTATACTCAGGACTAATAGCCAGCTATGTGTGGAGCAGCCAACAATGGAATTTGCAGACCAAGAAATAGGGGATAATGGTAAATGTCTATGCTGAAATCCACAATTCAGCTACGTCTGGATTTTTCAGCAATAGTGAGTTATCTAATCATTCTCTTTTCCATGTGTCTACAGTAGAAAAAGCAATATGCAGAATGTTTGCAAAAAGGAAGAAAATCATTTATATGTTGTTTCATTAATGTCTTGCTTTCAAGTGCTGATGAGTCTAACATGGAGCTTGTCCCAGCACCATATGCAGTTGTAGTGGTTGCATTGGTGACTCCAGCCAGACCCTCCATCTGAAAGAAAAAAATCCTGCCCCTCCTCAGCTGGTCAAAGGGAAAATCTCTGTCCCTGGTTGCCAGCTACAAGCCAGAGAGCAAAGTGAGGACTAGCAAAGCCTTGGTTTCAATTTCCTTTAGTAGCAGTTGAACAAGTGGACTCAGTTAATGGTTGTGGTTGCCCTCCCTGCCAAGTCCACAAAGCTCTTCCTCTTCTCAGCAAATCACACCTCCGCCGTTTGGGAACTGGGTGTGAGTGGCCTTTCTCTGGGCTTGTGTTTGGCTGTGCAGCCAGCAACACCACTACAGCTTCACCGACTCATATCTCCCAGTTGCCAGTGATCCAACCTTATGGAGAATAAGAAAACCACGCTAACAAACAAGAAGGACAAGTTTCTTTGTGTACAAAGCATAGTCTGCGGAGGAAGACCAGTTGGGGAGCACCCATTGCAGATACCTATAAATGTATATATATATATGCGCGCACGTGTGTGTGTATGTATATATATCTCCAGCTGTGTTCTGCTGCACTTGCAGCACTGATAGTGGCATTCAATGCACCCTCAAACTAACATGTACAGAGTCTGGATAAGGCAGGTCTGATAAAGATGGGAGCTTTTCTGGTGATCAGAATGGTGTTCTCACGGTAGCAACCCTTTGAGGCCAGGTTTGGTGACTCAGGAATGTGGCAAATAACTGAGTTCCAGCCTAAATGTGCATCATCTCGCTGCAGCATGTTCTGTGCAGCCGTGTTTATTTGGACAGACCGGTGAACTGGCGCTGTGTGGCAATGCCAGGTGCTGGTGAGGGTGTCAGGAGGCCATTTGGCTCTGTTCTGCAGATTGAAATCATGTCCCCGGCAGCCTTGTAACAGAGTACAGCTGACCCTCTTCTGACATCCCTCACGCAGATACAGTGTTCTCTCATCTGCACCCTTTGCCTGCAGTCAGGGTTGTGGCTACTTCATGGATTTTGGCTATGCGTAAACTGCAGAACCAAGAGCACTTGTCATCTCCTGCATCCCCTTCTTGACTCTCTCAAAAAGAGACCTTGGCTCATAACATTTTTCCCCTTATTTCCTTGGAAAGCAAACAGGGATGTGTAGGAGGAGGGGAGACACTTTTATCTCATAAAACCTTTCATAAAGTCAGCATGCAGTTTTCTTCATCCAGGTACAGCTGTACCACACAATATCTTGATGGCCACCTGGCTGCAGTCACTTTGCAGGGCTGATGGTGTATTTAGGGATGCATCCTCAAGTACTCAGGGGTCAAGATGCTCAAATATCCGCTCTTTAAATGCTGACATGCAGTCAGGAGGAGCGGCATGCTCCTGGAATCGATACATGCCTGTCATTATTTCCCCAGTGCACGGGGCCGTGACTTGTGTGCATCCTGGTTGGAGGGAACTGAACTGCAGCAGCAAGAAGGAAAACAAGACAACAGTCTTGCCGTTTATGCAGACTTCAGATGTCTACCCATATATGGCTGCAGTTCATGTCATGGCTCTGTGGGTGCGGAGATGTCACTGGGTGTGCAGCCACAGAGCATCCATCTTCAGCCTAGGCAGCCCTGTCACTGCTCTGCTGCCCCGTGGTTTTAAAATGCAGGCTATTTGTGAGAGGAAGGTAGGACTTTAGCTTCCAAAGCCTGTCTTCAGATGCCTCTCCTACACAAGTCTCTTACCTCACATAACACACCCCAAGAGGATTAACCGACAGAGGACTAATGTTTTTTGCTTTGTTTATTTGTTCCTCTTCTGTTGGATATTTGTGTCACATGCTCTCCCTTGTGCTGCCCAGTACCTGCTGCATTTCTTGTGGTCCACCCAAGGAAAGGGGAAGAGGGAATGTGAGCAGATCCACCAAGACTTCTCTGTCTTTAAGTCTGAAGGGCTGACCCAGGAACCTGCTGAATTTGGAGACCATATGTTAAAGCACTGGTGGTGCTAATAATACTGATAATTAAAGTATTTTAAAATATTTTTTTTAAATTTTTTTGCCTAGATTTATTGAAGGAAACAAAATTGAAACAATTTCAAGAAATGCATTTCGTGGCCTTCGAGACCTGACTCACCTGTAAGTTATTTAATACTTGGTAGAATAATTTGTACTTGAACAAAACTCTTCTGGGGAACCACTGGTTTTCCTCCCTTCCCCATCGCGTGTCAGCTTTCTCCTGCCGTCAACAACATGCCTTCCGCAAATTAAAAACTGGCCTTAAAAAAATTCCTGCGGGCAGAACTGCAGGATGCTCGCCTGCCTGCGCACACTTGCAGCTCGTGCTGGGTGCATCCGTTACCTGCGGATGCTGCACCAGTACCACTGTCACACCACATACTCGTGATGGACATTCCTGTTTCTTTTCAGCATGCTCAGTGATTGCTTTGTGTGTTACATTTGCACCTGGGCAATAAAAAAGCTTTATTTATTTGACTTTTATGTGAGGTTCAAGCAATCTCCATTCTTGCATGAGAATAATTAATATGGGCCTGTTCTTTGTAAATATTAACAATGCCAGTGGCTGGGCAGTACCAGATAATTAACAACCTGTAAGTGAGCTCAGACTCAGTAAGAGTCAGCCTGACGAGATAGTGGTGATACTAAGCTCTAACCTTCTTTTCTAGTTCTTTGGCCAATAACCATCTCAAAGCTCTGCCAAGGGATGTCTTCAGTGATTTAGATTCTTTAATTGAACTGTAAGTAATCAAAATCTTTCTAATGACTGCCTGATTCTGTCACTCTGTTATTCTGAGTTTTATGTTCTGGATTTGTGTGGTGCTGTATCTCATACCTGCACAGAAAAGAAATGTGCATTTTGTTGTTCTAGCTTTTCTTACTTTACAGTTGTTTACTTGGTAGACCCCTCTAAAATAACTGCTGTTTCTCAAATCACTGTTGCTTCTCATAATGCTGTATGTAGCTTGCATTATTGTACTTCTTTCTGGTGTTTCATATAAATTGTTTTTTAGGGAAAGAGAGACTGAATTTTAAAACTACAATTTCTCTGAACATTTTTTCCTGTTGTTGTTGCATGTATTCCCTGAGATTATTTTAGTAAAAGGCATTAATTTAAAAAACCCTGCTTTTTGTCTTGGTTTTGTGCTGTTGTAGCACATTGCTGACTTACTGTCAATGTTTTCCTGTGTAACTGAGCTGCTAGTCGGCTTCCCCTGGTTTTGGCCTGGCTCTCTTGAACAGCAAAATATAATTGTAAGCCACAAAAATTGTCAAGGGATCGAAGAACAGGTACAGTGTTGAAATTGCACATACGTTATTACAGGGAGGTTAAATTGACTCCACATCAGCAGTGACTCTAAAAATACAAGCCTTACATCTGTATTTTAGTGTAACACTAAATGGTACCAGCAAGGCCACTCTCAACCAGAGGTACTGGAGTAGTTTAGTGAAGAAATGGGATTTATCTGTGTCAGCGGTAGATGGTGGGAAGGAGGCTTGCAGCAGACAACCAGACTGTCAGGATTTATTACGTTACAGTCCTAATCCTATGAAAACTTATAAACATGAGTGACTTTACACGTGAATCACAGTGCTCTATTACTGTGATTATATGTAAGCATATTTCCTAGAGTGAAACAGTTTTTCCAAGGACAGCACTCAGTGAAGGAGAATCCGTAGTAAGAGAGTCCAAATAAAACTTAAGAAACTTCCCTGTTCTCAGTTCAAAAACATTCAAGGCTACTCAGATATTTTTAAATTCAGCATGTCAAGGTGATAACCATTCTGTAGTATTCATATTGCTATCAACTTTTTCAAACATGTTTATTTCTGTGTGTTTTTTTAGAGATTTAAGGGGAAATAAATTTGAGTGTGACTGCAAAGCCAAGTGGTTGTTTTTGTGGTTAAAGATGACAAATTCCACTGTTTCTGATGTCCTGTGTATTGGTCCAGCAGAATATCAGGATAAGAAGTTAAATGATGTGACAAGTTTTGATTATGAATGCACCACTACAGGTATTCAGAATGTATATTTCTAAGCACACTACAAATGGTTAACTATCAGAAGTTTAGACTATACCCTTTCGCTTCTGTGAGCATGACCTGGGGGGGAGGAAAGGGTTAAATACAAAGCACTTCGGAGTACTAGAACAAGCATAAAATGGGAAAATTACATTTTGAAGCCAAAGTAAGTAAGTACCGAGTTTTTATTTGGATTAAGTGATAATGGGAGAAGAGCTCTGACTATTCATATACCAAAAGACTTGATTATGACTCACTTTGTGACTTAATTTTCATCACAGAATGCTTTCTATTATCTGGAATAAGGCCATATAGTTATAGCAGATGAGCTTCCCAAAATCTCTGTATTTGACAGAAAGCAATGAAAAGAAGTTCAAATAATGTGGCTATATCTGTTATCTTTATTCAATAGGCCACAATTTAATAGCATCAAATGTGACTGCAATACTGCCAGCAGTTCTTCATGGAACTCCATTAAGTTGGAGAGAAATGTCCAATCATATTCTGACTACTGTCTTGTTTAGGATCTTGATTTTTATTTTAGGTAATGTAAAGCATGCTGAAGGAAGTGAAGAGAAACTTGCATGTGGTTATGCTTATATTTTATGACTGAACAGCTGCAGTTACCGATCTTTAAATGTAGTCACATCATATAACTGAGAAAATCAGCTATGAGTATTGTTTTTCATCTTCCCTGTCTATGATGTCAGCACTCTGCCTTTTTTCTGTACAGTAATATCAGAGGCGTTCAAGTTTTCATCTGTCAAGTCAGTCATTATTAAAAGACAATAGAAAAGTTGATTATTAGTAATGTAATGTGAAGTTTCAGGACATGGTATGAAAGGTAATCCAAGGGCAATATGTAAATGAAAAGAGAATCAACTCAGAATTCAAAAGTATTTCAGAAGAACAGCAGAGGTAAAATGCGATAATCTGCTACATAAAAGGATGTCAAAACCAGGAAGGCAATGTAGCTTAAAATGGTACCAAAGTTATGTTCCTGTGTCTGCAAATCCATTGGCATGCAAAAGTACAAAGTAAAAGCAGGCTTCATTTCATCTCAATCTGGTTTAAGCAATTGCGCAGCATGAGAACAAGCCTTATCTACCTGGTCCTCAGACCTACACTGACCTACCTGCCCTCTGTCATCTCTTTGTATCTAGAAAGCTAACTATAAAGTTGCTACAGGCAATATTCACCCTTGTTAGTCCCTTTGTCCGTTCCAAGCATAAATCTGATTTCACATGCTGTAGATTTTGCTGGGGAGCTAAGGTGTTATGTGGTGCAAGGATTGCCCAGCTGAATATTTGCTCAAATGCCATCAGAGAAGTGCTCTCACAGCATGGTATATAGCTTTAATATACTCTTCAGATAGTAAAGGATGTTTTCAAACCAGTCATCCCCAGGCTGTTGTGAGGGAAGGCTGTGTGCCTAACCTCCCTGGCCTGGGGGTAGGCAGCAGCAGGCTTCCCAGAGCTCCAGTGCTAGTGAGGGTGGAGGGTGCAGAAGGCATGGAGTTCTGGCATCCTTACAGAGTGTCCGAGGGGGACAGACTGTATGCAGAAATGATGCATAAGAGACAAACCAGAGATAAGTAGAGTAGAAATGCAAATCTTCAGGAATGTGTCACCCTTGAGGCAGCATCTTTGTGCTCTGCACTGAACTGCCAGCTGCATTGCTTGAGCTGTAGCCCTCTGGTGGCCTTGGTGGTCTGTGGTGTTAGGTCACAGCTGCTTTTTCCTTCTCTACCATTGCCTCCCCCAGATCCAAAGGGAGCATATATGAATATGCCCATATTCATTCCTTGAGGATTGATTAGTCACAGGCTTAGGCTTGTACTGTATTCTGAAGTAAAGCAACATAACTTGTAGATATATTTTCCTTTCCTACTTGGTGATGGGCAGTGCTCTGCAAACCTCTTTCATTCATGTAAGTCTTTAGTATTGTATTTCTCTCCTTTGGCAGGCGTGATCAGACTTCCCATCATTTCTGGTCTCTGGTACTCATTGTCAAGCGCGACTGGATGTAGGGTGTGGTAACAAAGCAGTTTGCTTGATAAAACATGCATCTTGGCAGCTCCATCAGTTCATTGCATCCACTGAACTGCTACAATGGTAACAGGAGGAGAGATGGAAAGACTTGCTGCCAAATTTAAAAAAAAAAAAAAAAGTCAAACCCCAAAATGGTCCTATTGCTTCTTCACAGAGAAAGCAATTCAGTGTCGATGATCTGCACGTTTAACTCTTTTTGTGATAGAATCTCCCTTTTTCATTTCTCACAGCTATTTCACTTTCTTATCTTTCTCTCTCAACAGTGTGTGAGGGGGGTGTGCTGTGGCTGTAAACACAGCACGTGTTAACTTACTTCTAGGAGACTGGAAAATGTGCCTCGTGCTCCCACAGTTAACTGGAAACATGCTGTGTGCATGCTTGGGACCTGTTTTGCCCAAACCTGCAGGCAAGGATCATTTCACCAAGCTTTGAAAGCTTGGTTTCCCCTTTCTTTTACCTAGCTGGGACTATTCTGGATGTGGTCCTCTCTTTCCCCGCTGTCTGGAAGGTAGTTTACAATCAAGAGTTACCTGCTCCGTACTCGCTCCTGTGCTGGAGATCACCTGTGCTGCTGCCGTGGTGGGAGATGGGAAGGAATGGCTAATGCTCCCTGATAGCACCCCCAGGTCCTGGGTAGCCTCCCCTGGAGTAGACGTCTCCACCGCAGGAAAGAAGGGACATGAGGAAAGGGAGATCAAGTTGTAGGATGCAGTTTAGGAGCTGCTGCTCAAATAGATCATCACTCCCTTTCTCCTTAGTGTCCTCCAGCATTCCCCATGTGCTCCCCCTCTGCTCTGCCAGCATCGGCTGGGATCGGCTGTGTGCCGGGATCAACCAGAGCAGGGGCTGCCGCAAGGGAAATCAGCCCAACACCAGAAGTGTTGGGTCCCTCATCCATGATGGCTCATGCCAGTCCAAAAGGGAGCAAGAGTGCAAAGGGAGCAGAGTGGGCAGCTGGAGGTCAGGGGGACCACCCCAGCCAGCAGAAAGCGGCGTTACAACCATGTGTCTTGAGACAGGGAGAGTGAAACTGTCCATGGGGGTGAGAGGGAGAGAGCAACAGCCTGTGCAGCCAGTGGCACAGGGGGGAAGTGAGGCCATGTCCTCTTCCCTCTCCTGTGCTGGTTGATCCAGCTTTAAAAGAGAAAAGTGTTGGGAAACACACATCCCCTCAACCCTGCATTTACTGTATGAGCTCTTTCTAGCATTAAAGCAAGGCATGTGGACCTGGCTGTAAAATGAAATCGAGCCCCCAGGACCAAAATTTTTGGCAAGTCTGATGTGGCAGCATCTCTTTACTGTGTAATCCTGTTCCACATTAGAGTCTGGTATTTCCAGCTGGTGCTAAAAACAACGTTTACTGCTTTTACTGATTACAACTGATTTTGTTACCCATTTTTACTCATCCAGTAACATAAAGAGCCCAATGACAGGTAGAAGTAAAAATAGCTGTGTTAACATTGAATCATTTCTGAATGAGCAGTGGGTTTTAACTCACAGACTGGTTTGGTTTAACTCACAGATTCCCTCAAAATGCTTCACAACTCTTCAAAATATGTCTTTTTCAGCATTAGGTTTTTTATTTATTCTCAAGATTTTAAAAATATTTTGATTTTCTGTGACTGTATCTGCTATTGTTCCATCCTTAGCTACCTTTCGTGATTTATTGCTTATTTTTATTTTCTGCATAGTTCGGTGTCAGTTTTCTTCAGTCCTTTTATTTTCCCAGTGAGAATGAAGATAACTTTCTTGTTTTCCTACCAGTATTTATGAATCAAGCCCAAACTCTATTTATAATAGTCCCTCAAAGAATGGAGACTGTCATTTCTTTCACAACTGTCGAATCTGCTCTGTTTGCTTAATGGTAGTCATCTATCTTTATTCTCCAGAAGTGTAACTCCTCAAGGGCAAGACTTTCAAGTATGCAGAGACCGAGTTCTTAATTCAAAAACAATTATTTCATAATGCACCAAAATGAGGGACTTGAGTGAGGACTTAATTACCATTTCACCAAAACCCCTGGATGCTCAGTCCCTTCCACTGTAGGAGTGCATGGTGAAGGCATGTAGCAAGTGGAGCTTGAAACAGAGCAGTGTGTGGTTCTGTAGAGAAACACCATTGTAGCAGAAGATGCATTTCCTTTTCTATCTATCTATACCCATATATCACTTCAGTGCAGGCCTTCTGCCATGTTCTAGACCCAAGTGCTGGCTTTTCTTTGTCAGCTCTGCTATACTGGTTTCTATTCCTGATAATAATCATCTTGCCCAGCTGTAGGCCAAAGATCAAATTCAGACCCAGGTCTCCTCACTTTGTCCCACATTGGCTCTGTGCTGACTGCTGACTTAGCCCAGGGTGAATTTTAGAGTTAAATCTACAAAGGCACTTAGATTTCGAGAATAAATCTTGAATTTTGGAGTTACACTCCTAGTCTTCACACGTTGCTCCAACTCCTCATTCTCAGTGTCTAGAATAAGTTTTCCACTGGATAGTAATTTGTAGGTTGGTTGTATTTTATGCCTAAACTACTTTACAATGCTCCATAAAACGTTATGTTAACTGAGTATTTGATTACACCATTTTGTCTATGGTCTAGCCAAAATGGGGTTATCCCCAGGCAAACCTCAGATATCATTTCACTTTCTGCCTGGTTTAGCATAACACAAATTGCTAGTGATTAAATTTGCATGACTTAAGAAGTTATTGGACTTCAGCTGGAAGTTGCTGTCTCTCAGCTTGAAAGTGATTCTAGCAAGGCCATTTCACTTAACGGGAAAGCAACCTCCAGCTGTGGGGAAAGAGACTTCTCTCTCAATATCGTGATTTCATTGATACCAGCCAGCCTAGCTGGAAAATCTGATTTCTGCCACTATTCACCTATTTGATCTTCTTGGCAACTGTATTTCCAGAGGACAGTTTATGATACCTAAAATCAGGAGACACTTTCCCCTGTTGCTGCATGCCTAAGATGAGCACTGACACTTCCATGCTAGCATTATAAAAAATCTGGAGTATTTCACAAATTTTTCAGTGTAAATCGTTATAATCAGTGACCACTTACTACGTGTTTCCAGCAATGATGTATCCTAACTGCTGTAAATGTATGTTTCTAGATTTTGTTATTCACCAGATTTTGCCCTACCAGTCAGTTTCAGTGGATACATTCAACTCAAAGAATGATGTGTTCGTAGCCATTGCACAGCCCAGCATGGAGAACTGCATGGTGCTGGAGTGGGATCACATTGAAATGAATTTCAGGAGTTATGACAATATCACAGGTATATGAACACTGGGATTCCAGTCATTGATGAACTGTTGGTGTTTCACAAGGATGAGATTCGTAAATGGAACCAGTTGATAGTTTTTGTCCCGAATCTGTGTTGAATTTGGCAGATCAAAGTGTGTAATGTTTGGACATGAGTGACTTCATGGAGTAGAGCATCTTATTAATACGTGCACATTTAACCTCGCTGTAGCACACAGACTAGGCTTTTTTTGTCTGATCTTGTGAATTGTTTTGAAGGCACAAACACTTGCTGTGAATGTCATGCCGTGGCCCAGCTTAGCACTCACTGCCTGGATTATACTGCAAGTTAAAACTGAAGGAGTTCTCACTCTTGCCAAAGTGCTTGCAAAACAGAATATAAAAATGCCTTACTGAATGTAAAAGGAAATAGGTCTGAAAGATGCTTCCAGGGTAGGCTAGCCAGGAAAGCGTGTTTCACAGCTGAAGATGACATAGAAATAATTAAACTATGGTTGTCACCTAAAGAGAAGTGCTGTAAAGCTTTTATGTTTACTTTCCATTTACAAACATGCTGAATTAGTATCCTGGCCAGATTACTCATCAAACAAAAAGCCCTTGTGGATGCCAGGTGATTTTCTAATGCAAACAACTGTTCTGTCCCTAACTGGCACTCATGGTGCTCAGTCACAACATGACAGCAAGGACAGAGTCTTTAGAGCTGTTATATGCTGCTCAATTTCCCAGCTACTTCAAGCTACTGGTTCTGAAGACTCAGAAGGTACATTTATCCATGGAGCATCCTTCTCTCCTGTTCCTTCTTATGTGTGATAGATTATTTTTTACCTTGCGTTTTGGGAAACAAAGAGTATGCAGGGTCTTCATCTGGTGTTGAAGTCTACAAAGGCAGCAAGCACCTACCTCCATAACGAAGATGCTACCCCTCCATCAGGAAATTTTGGAAATGAAAAATTTTGCTTTTCAGGTTTCATTGATGGTAGATTAGGGGGCAATATATACCAGTGGATGTAAATTGAGAAGCCGATGGCCCAAAGAGAGCCAACAGTGCTCTAGAAAAGCTCTAGAAATGAAGTTGAGACTGGGTCATTTCCAAAGACAGCTGTCTTCTGGAGGTATTTCACCTTCCTGTGATTAGGAAACACTTGTGTCCTAACTCCACACCCAGCATACGTGCCCAGACTCATTTCTTGAACAAGCATCCCGTGTTCCTGGAAGGCCTGAGCTTGAGCTCCGGACTCTGAAATGTAGGTGAGGAAGAGTCTTTTGCACATAAAGAACCTCTTGTGGAGCTTAAAGAGTGTTTTGCAGATCTCAGGAGCCAGCTATGTGCTCCATGGGGAATTTCATTATTAACTGTATGCTTGGTATTCAGATATCTGATCTAGCCCTTTACAACATGGGCTTACAGACCTGAGCTAGTTGTCAAGATTGCCTTTACAGTCAACATGCAGAGAATAGGTGTTGCTGTCCCCTGCAAAAGGAGACATATGGAGGCCAGGTGAAATATCTTCTAGAGTGTTTTTTGACTAAGTTAGACCAGAAAGAGCCTGGATGATCTGCTCAAGCATTCATGTCTATGCTGCAGATACCTTACAGCACTTGTGATGAATCCCACCCCTTCTACACTGGGAGGGTGTTAGATCATCCCAGGCTGGCTGTGAAACAGCTATGGGTAGGAGACCAGCAGAAGTGTCAGGGTGAGTCTCCTGCAGTGACTGTGACCAAGCATGCATAGGGGTATCTGTGTATTTACAGTTCTACTTAAACTGTGCACTTCAGAGAGGAATTCCTCTCTTCTTCCAACAAAACCTTTTGTAAATAGTCTTTATTGTTACTTTTTTGATGTGGTTCTTGTATAGCAACTTGACATTGTCAAAACAGACCATAACCTGATCTAATCTAATCTGGAAACTGCAATATTCCTAAATATTTCTAGTTTAACATAACCTCCGGAATACTTAACAGAAACAACTGAGTTAGATTTATCTTTTTCATCCTACTGTCAGATGATATATCCACAAGATGCATCAATATTTCTATTTACAGTAGCAAAAAGCTGACTCTGGCTCTCTTGGAGCAAGAAAAATAGACTATATTTTATTTTTCTAGTTAAGCTGGAAAGATAGACATTCCAAGAATAAGAGAATTTCAGATTCCTGCTGAGTCATGAGATAACAAGTCTTGTTATTTTGGAATAATAAAATTTGGCTTAAAGAATTGTTTGGGATATTAAGGGCCATGTGTTTGAACAAACAGAAAGAAAAAGTATTCTGGATAAAAAGGAGCGACCATTTTGGGTGCATCATACCTGCACACCTTGAGGGTGTGACATTTCCAGCATTTTAAGTCATCTTTCCAGTTACTGGAGAGAAGAAAAGCATGAGAAGCAGCTCTGACAGCATGTAGCAGAAGACAGAATTATGCAGATTTAAAAAGGGGGAGGGGTGATTTGGTAATCTTTCTGTGGTTTATAGGGTGCTTTGTACTGTGCTAATATATATGCTTTTTTTTTCCTTTGGGCAATAGGTCAGTCCATAGTGGGATGTAAAGCCATTCTTGTTGGTGACCAAGTCTTTGTGGTGGTGGCACAGCTCTTTGGTGGCTCACACATTTACAAGTATGACGAAAGCTGGACAAAGTTTGTCAAATTCCAGGATATTGAAGTATCTCGCATTTCCAAGCCAAATGATATAGAGCTTTTTGAGATAGACAGCGAAATGTTTTTTGTCATAGCAGATAGCTCTAAAGCAGGTTTGTCAACAGTGTACAAGTGGAATAACAAAGGATTTTACTCATACCAGTCCCTTCACGAGTGGTTCAGGGACACTGATGCTGAGTTTCTTGATATAGATGGGAAATCACATTTAATCCTCTCTAGCCGTTCCCAGGTTCCCATTATACTCCAGTGGAACAAAGTTTCCAAAAAGTTTGTCCCACACAGTGAAATCCCCAACATGGAAGATGTCTTGGCTGTGAAGAGTTTCAGGATGCAAGATAACCTGTACATCACACTCACGAGATTCATTGGTGACTCCAGAGTTATGAAATGGAATAGCAAACAGTTTGTGGAGATACAGGCTCTTCCATCCAGAGGAGCCATGACGCTGCAACCTTTCTCCTTCAAGAACAATTACTACCTAGCCTTGGGAAGTGACTATACCTTCTCCCAGATTTACCAGTGGGATGGTGAAAAGAAGATCTTCAGATTATTTAAAGAAATCTATGTGCAGGCACCACGGTCTTTCACAGCTGTGTCAACAGATCGAAGAGATTTTTTCTTTGCCTCTAGTTTTAAAGGGAACACTCAAATATTTGAACATATCATCATTGACTTGAGTTTATGAAAAGCTGCTGGAGTGAAATTCATGTCAAATGACATTTATACACAAACAAAGCAAAAAGAGACCTTTCCAAAAACAGGGTGCACCTATGGAGTATGGTGACATTTTCCGAACTTTTCAAACTTGCATATTAATCAGGGATTGCATTTACTTGGTTACTGCATGACATGTCTGTTTTATCCTTTTTCAAAGACACTTTGCAATCTGCAGTCATTCAGCGGAGAGTGTAGTGCGTTAAGATTGTTGTTGACATCTAAGAGAATTATCTAAATTTTAACCAGAAAACTACCTTGAATTGAATGTCTCGTGAAGAAAGTGAAGACATACAAAGCATAGAAGTTATCTTGACTCTTCAACTAACATGTTAGTAATGATTTTGAGACTAGAACCAGTTCTTTATGGTTGCTGATGGATTGTAAAAACAAACAGTAATGTTCCAGAATACACTTTATTTTTGTTTCTTGAGGTCTGTCTGCAAAACCTGTGGTTTATAGTAAGTCCAATGTATCATTTTATTTCATTGTAGATGAAAGGGAAAGTCAAAATCTATTGCCATTTTTCTGACATGACTTACTATTTCAGCAAGAAATTGTGTGTAACAAGTACCCCAGCCCACAGTATCTGGGTAGCCAGGAAGAGTACATCACTTCTGGACTGTGAGATCTTGGCAAGTTAACATAGACAGAAAATAATGGAGGTCTGCATGGTGCCATGAATGAATCAACTACAAATTCCATCCCCTTTCTGTTTTAATAGGTATTTCAGAAATCCAACCCATTTTGCCCTATTTCATACTTTTCCTGATGATCCCTGTAGATTCTGGGGTGTTTTAACAAGTAAATCTGTTGTGATCTCTCATTCTAGAGGCACAGCTTAAGCTTAGCCTGAAACACACACCCACATTCACATACTGTGTGCTGTAGCTTGTCTGTACACAATGAGATGATTTATTTACAGCTCTCCCCCCAGCACAGCTCACAATCAATAAATTCAGGCTTGGGTCATCACAGGCTGTACTTGGGGAATCCTCTTTCTGGCTGAGGTCTGAATAGGACTGGTATCACCAAGTCTCTTGAAACCAAGGCAGCCAGAGCTGTTTCAGGCTAGAGCTAACCCTGCCTCCAAAGGTTTCCTCTTGGTGGCTCCAGGCTTTTGCCAGGTTGTGAGTTCATTGAAAGCTAAACAGGAGGATGTGAACATTCTGTACCACATAGTGGTGTTTTGGGTGGCTAAAGACTAAGGTGTTTAGGGGCACCTAAATAGGGCAGTCCTGGCACTCAAGAGCCTCTGTCAGGATAACAGTAAGGGACTGTTTCTCTGGAAGGGCTCTCCACCATCCTTACACAACCAAATTATGTATCAGAGCCCTTGTTTGTTCACTTACACAATATGTTTCTGTAAGTTTTCATGCCACTTACCATACTATGTTTTATCTTTTCTTCCTGCAGCACCGCTGCCTTGGATAATAGAACAGCTTTTCATAAAGCATGCAGAGCAAAGGAAACTTGTCTTTTATTCCTTCATACTCAGGGCTGTCTAACGATCTCTGTGCTGAGTGAGCTTCACATATTGCCCTGGACATGAGAAACATGGCCTAGTACTACAAATAGAGATGTTCTCATAGACTTTCTGACATCCAAGATGTGAACAGTGCTGCAGAAGAGGATTATGCACAAGGACTCCCATGAGGAGTCATAACCTACCAGTGACCTGGCATATCACAGCCTTCCCTGACTTTTATATATATATATATATATATATATATATAATAAAATTATTATTGGCCTCTCAGAGACATAACTCACTCTGTTTTAAAATTATGTGTTAGTTTTTTTTCCTGAAGAGGTGCTTATTCTGGTTTTATTTTTAATTACAATGGCAACTTAGCCCATCCAGCCATCCAAAGTATTGAGCGCTGCCCTCTGCATCGCAATGCGAAGCAGTCCCAGTGGTTCAGTCAGACCAGTAGATGCAAACCAACCCTCTGTAGTAGGTTTTAGCAATACCTCTCCTAGGATTAAGCTAACAAATCTGACAAAACAAAGAGAGGATTCATATGTCTGCCAGTGAATGCAATTTCTTACCGTGTTCCCAGTTTACTTTTTAAAGCAGGTATGGCTGTCAAGTAGTTTCTTTAACCTCTGTTGTGAGAAGGCATTTTTTATTGCTTTTCTGCTGAGCATGGATGTTTAAAATGAGTTAGATACTCTGATGAGAAGGGACATTTCTCAGTGCACCAGGACTTTCTTTTAGGGTTCACTGTGAGTACCTTTCACTCAGCAAGAGGCATCAGTCAGAACTAAAAGCTAGTTTAGATAAATTGGCTCTTGGCATTTTTTACTTGAAGGGAAGCAAGAGGATGGTGGAAAAGGACTTGTGTATTGAATACCAGGAGATTGTACTGTTTTGAGAGCCAATGGGATTTTGAGACTTGGCTATCAAGTTGAATTAAATTAAAATGGTCTCTGCAGAGACAGGCTTAATAAAGAGGATAAAGTGATCCACAGGAGTCTAGCTCATTCACATGGGACCAGAAGAAAATGAGGGAAATGAATTATGCGGGCAGGCTGCTGCTTCTGCTGAGTAGCTGTGTTGGTTGGTCAGAAAGCCCAGCTCAGCATCCCTCCCGGCTTCAGGAGGACCCTGGAGTCAGATGCCAGCCTGCCTGTTCTGCTGATTTAGTGCACAGGAGGTCAAAGCAGCTAAGAGGGAGGGCAAAAAGCACCAGGTGATGAAGAAAAGGTTATGGTACATTTCACAGGATTAAACAAAGGCAGGGTCTCAAAAAGAGCTGTGTTCTGTTCTTCCTGCTCCCAAGGAAAAGCTGCAGGATGCAGCTATACAACAGAAATCACTAAGCATCAAAAATACTTTCTGCCTTTCCAAATGCAATGGTGGTTTTGTCTCCATGGCCTATATTCTCTAATAGCAATTGTTTTGAATAGTAAATAAGCTATGCATATCCATAATTTATTGCCACTGTTAGACCGTCAGGACAGTGAGAAAGGATAACAGAACATGCCACCTGGTAATTTGTAATGTATTCTAAAATACATACAACTATGTAAAGAACAGTAGTTTGTATAAGCATAGATTTAATACAATGTGCTAGCTGCAGTGGGAGCATTTTAAGCCTGTATATACATTGAGCTTTTTTTAGTAAAGAGAAGCTGATGCAATCTATACTGGACACATGTATGTACTCTTTCAATATATGAATAAAATGTAGTTAATGAGACTAATTGTGGTGCATCATGCATGTTAAAATGTTGACGCTGCAAAGATCCACACTGCCAGAGGGATGGAAAAGGTGGGCAAATGGGGCTTTGTCAATTTATGATCGGTTTGGGCTTTTGAAAACGTGGAAGAAGCCGTGCTCAGCTTAGTTAAATTCAGTTTCTGTGCCTGAGGTATCTCGGACCTCCAAGGTTTGCTGTTCCCTGGCTTTCCCCTTCACTCTTTCCTTACACCCCATCTAGTGTTAGCAGGTGTGTAATGCAGCTATTACTACGACCTTTTAGTTCATATTAAACTCAGTTGTTCCCTTCCTTTCTTTCTTTCTTACCACAAAACCAAGAGATATTAATTTTCAAAACAATGTTCAAAAGATACTTAAGATACTCAGGTGGGTTTCTTACATGTAGAGTTGATAGGAACCAAGCCTTAAAATCAGTCCCTAGACTTTCAGGTCTTTGCTGTGAGGTCTGTTAAGATTTGTTAAATTTTACTGAATCATTGGCATTGACTCTGAAATTGCCAAAATAAATATAGATCTATCAACAGTGAATACATTTTATTTAAACCAATACTTGATCACTATCCACTGATCCTGACAGTCACTAACTCAGGGAGTAATTCTTTTTGTTTCCTCTTCTTTCTTCAGAAACAGTGCAATTCTCTGTAACTAATTATAGTCTTGTGCAATCAAAGACATGTCTAACATACCATAATGGGATGCGATTGCTCTGGGATCATTGCTTTCCTTTTGGGTATTCTACCTTTTTATGAGTCAGCAGCCCTTGTGGTGTGGTTCACTGAAACTTCATCATAGCTCAAACATCAGCTTCAAATCAGCACCATTTCCCCACCTGCCCTCCCCCGGTTGCTTTGCCCTTGCTAGGTGAACATTTTTTTTCCACCCGTTCCACCTTCTTGAAATCTTCCTCAGAAAATTTCTGTTCCTCCTTGAAAGTCACAAGAGAAAAGCGTTCCCAAAGAGCAATGTGATGGTCACTCCTCTGCAAATGTCAAGTGGAAGACAGAGCAGGATCTTTTTGAAAGGTCAAGCTGAAGGCTGATGTGTAAGAAACAGCTTGTAAGAATCGCACTCACCACCTCTAAGTCCCATTCATTCCTGGCCTACAGACCTGAGCTACTACCACTATTTTCTATTGGCAACAATGCCCACAGCAAGAAATTACTAAGACTTTTTTTTCACACCCCAACCCAGGAGAAATGGAGCTGAGTTGCTAACACTGTTCTTTTCCCTAGTATCTGGAAACCCCTTAACTTCTCTTGCATTCCGCATATAGTCCATCCTCCTTTTTGAGAAACTGCAGGCTAGATGATCTAATGGGCTTCAGAACTGACCTTCAGAATCTGACAAAACCAGCTGGCCACATGGTGTTAGATCCTCCACAAAATAAGAGGCTGATACTCTGAAAGCATTTCAAATGATAGTTACAAAAACTTAATCCACCCCCTCATCCCTATAAACCATTGCCATTCTTGCCACAGAGCTGTGTGATGATTTGCACAGGTGTTTCACAAAATCTTGAATGGGAGGAAAGATGCTGGAAGATGAGGTTCATGTTATGAAGCACTAGGCAAATTCTGTTATCTTGAGGTCTGAGTTGATTGTTTGGTGCCATCCACATACATGGTGGGTAGCTGCATATGTTGCAAGCTGGACATGATTCCTTACAGAGCCATGCACAGCAAAATCAAAGTCAAATTGAACGTAATATCATGGCTCTGGGTGAAGAAAGTGTTGAAGGGAAGCATCTGGAGTTGCACAGTGCCACCCTGGAATGATTCACAGAGGGGTGTGATGCACTTCGACAAGCAGGCAAGGGACATACGTTTTTTACAGTCTGTGGTTTGGGTTGAAAGAGATTATATGGGTCTTCACAGAATCCGAGGACAGTTTGGGTTGGAAGGAACATTTAAAGGTCGTCTTGTCCAAGCCCCCTGCAATAAGCAGGGACATCTCCAGCTAGATCAGGTTGTTCAGAGCCCTGTCCAACCTGACCTTGAATGTTTCCAGGGATGGAGCATCCACCACCTCTCTGGGCAACCCATTCCAGTGCTTCACCATCCTCATCATAAAAAATTTCTTAAGACCGGACTAAATCTGCCCTCTTTTAGTTTAAAACCATTACCCATTGTCCTATCACAACAGGCTGTACTAAAAAGTCTGTCCCCATTCTTCTTACAAACCCCCTTTAAATATTGAAAGGCCGCAATAAGGTCTCCCCAGAGCCTTCTCTTCTCCAGGCTGAACAACCCCAACTCTCTCAGCCCATCCTCATAGGAGAGGTGTTCCATCCCTCTGATCATTTTTGTGGCCTCCTCTGGACCTGCTTGAGCAGGTCCATGTCTTTCCTTTGCTGAGGGCCCCAGCACTGAATGCAGTACTCCAGGTGGGGTCTCATGAGAGCGGAGTAGAGAGGCAGAATCACCTCCCTTGACCTGCTGGTCACACTTCTGATGAAACCCAGAATACAGTTGGCTTTCTGGGTTGCGAGCACACATTGCTGGGTCATGTCCAGCTTTTCATCCCCAAGTCCTCTGCAGGGCTGCTCTCAATCCCTTGATCCCCCAGCCTGCATTAATACTTGGGGTTGCCCCAACCCAGATGAAGGACTCTGCACTTGGCTCTGTTGAACCTCATGAGGTTCACATGGGCCCACTTCTCAAGCTTGTTCATGTCCCCCTGGATGGCATCCCGCCCCTCAGGCGTGTCAGCTGCACCACTCAACTTGTCATTGGCAAACTTGCTGAGGGTGCACTTGATCTCACTGTCTATGTTGCTGATAGAGATATTAAACAGTGCTGGTCCTAATATGGACCTCTGAGGGACATAATTTGTCACTGACCGCCATCTCGGCATCGTGCCATTGACCACTAACCTCTGAATGTGACCATCCAACCAATTCCTTATCCACCAGAGAGTCCACCCATCAAATCCATACCTCTCCAATTTATAGAGAAAGATGTGGGGGACTGTCAAAGGCCTTACAGAAATCCAGAGAGATGACATCCATAGCTCTTTCCTTGTCCACTGATGTAGTCACTTCATCATAGAAGGCTGGTAGGTTGGTCTTGGGAAGACTGGATGAGAAATTTCTATAGGCATCTCCTTATTCCACTTTTGCCATGTCAGGGAGGTAGCCTGGACAGAGTTTTGTGGAAAGCAAGGAAAGCAGGTGCCAGAAATTCAATATAAGTAATATTGAAGTAGAGATTAGAAAACTAGAGATGGTAAGACAGTATACAAATGTTTAGTTACCTTGAGGGAAACAAATCACATTTTCTAAGCACAGAGATAAATCAGTGTGAGATCAGGGAATCAGGAAGAACAAAAAATATGTTTCTAAATAAAGGAAAGGAATAGGAGTGACAGCATATGAAGTGTGAGTTTACTTAATTGCTCTGTAGCGAAAGTATCTAAAGTGCCTCTCCAAGGTCACTCAGAGAATGCAATCCACATCATTTTCCTTCCCAGAGTCACCCTGGTTTATGCTTAATTAAACTATGCAAGCTCTGCACACTCTAGAAAATGCCCTTTTTATTGCATTGTAGGCAATTTGCATTTCTGAAGGGCATTTGGGAACCATGACATCACCAGAATGAAGGGCTTCTGGTAGCGTCGTTCCCATTTTAATTCATTTGCAATTGTTGACTTTTATTCCAAAGTTAATTTCTATTTCCTGCTTGGACATTAGCACTGGATTGTACAAGAACGCTCATTTTCCAACTTCAATGGCTGTTTCAGTTCTTCTGACTCAGCAGTCCCTTGGGGCTGACTCATCTGCCAGATGCAGGTGTGCCCTGACAATTAATTCTCCATTTTAGTCTCATGAATGAAAGACCAGTGGGTCAAGAAAGTACTCATCACCCACCACTAGTGGGGTCAATGTGGATGGAGCCTGGGTTGGCACATGAAAAGAGGGGGCAGCACTGCTCTCTGCATGTTGACTAATCTCTCTTCTGGTCTTGCCAGTACAGTAAATGGTTTTGCCAGTTTTACAGAAAGCAGAGTACTGATGAGGCCAGGATGGTGCAGATTTACTTGGGATGCTTCTGAGAGCAAGCTAGAAATAGAAAGGGGAAACAGAAGTTAAATAAGCAACTCTGGTTAATGGCATCTGCCTACTATTTGTTTGTAAACTCTGTAGCCCAGGGGTCTCCTTGGATCCCCAGGTTCTCCTGGTTCCTGCTGACAGCATTTTCTGACTCTGCTTTGTACTATTAGCATCTGGGGAGAAAACTGCAGGCCTTTCATTTCAGAGGAAGGCTCATTACAATTATCTGTGCCTCTGTCACCTCGGGATCTGATTACAGTGCTGGGGTTGCACCTTGAAATCGTTACAATTAAGACTTAATGAAGTGAGTAACTACAGAGTCCTGCAGTTACTCCCCACCAACTTATTGCATCTGCCTCTATCATAGGAATAGCTACCACCTGATTTTTATGATTTTTAAAAAGTGAAACCTCATATTTGGAGTTTATCCTATAAAAGCCTGCACAGTTGGGACTGCGAGAGCCTGGGTGGCTCTCCTTCCCTGTCACAACACAGGCTGGATGAGCTTGGAGCATACTGCTGGCTGAAAACGGATGCAGGTAGGAGAGAAAAAATTGGGGGGTGGGGCTGGAAAATGATAAGGAGATCCTGGGTGACAACTCTGTGGAGAGGGCTACGCTGATGTCCCTGCTAAATACCAGTCCTACCCCATATGACAGTGCAGGTACAGCGTGCAGGCAGCCGGTGTGCCTGAGTCAGCCCACTCCAGTGCTGCGGCAGCTCCACGGCTCTCACTGGCTTATCCCAATGTGCGTTAGTGACGTACCTGACCTAAACCAAGAGAATAAAGTGAAATACGAAACTAACTGGTGCTTTAATGCCTTCTTGGTACCTTTGGCTTGAAATAGTGTGTACATGTATGTAGATGCGCTTGCCAATCCCATGCTGACCCGTTAGTAACAAATAGTGATTGACTCCTTTGCTCT